ATCACTCTTGCTCAATCTTCATAACAAAAAGAGGGACAGATTGTCAGGAAATCCCATACACCCTGAGAGGGGAGGGGGTGAGAGAGAATAATAAAAACATTGGGACACATAGAGACAGGCGTCTATGTGTTAATAATGCGGCAGGGTTGGTGCAAGGGCCTGTAAATAAAACGGCTTTGCAATAACCAATGTTCCTGATGCTAAAATGGTGAAATCCACTGTTTACTGCAGCTCTATAAAAAAAAAACATCATACTGTCATAATCTTCTATTCTGCATTTATTGTGACAAAGATAACATCAGTTCTCATGAGCAAAAACCCCGTGTAAACGTTGGAGGGGAGGAGTTACATCACAGATCACAGCTGGCTCGCTAATCCCTGTGCACGTCACTCTAATCCAGATTGAGATTTTCCTTCCTCTTTTTCTGACTTCACTGTCACTCAAACACCTACCTACAATAGAATAAAACTATAGTTCTCTGCAGCCAATGAAACACATCTTAAACAGAGAGAGTGAGTATGTCTTTTAAAATCACTGATGTATAATATTGAATGGTTCTAATTAAAAACCCTTTTGAAATATTTAGGTAAATAAATAAACTGCATAATTATTACCCAGTATTGTCAGCACCAACATTTCAAATATTCATCAAACATTTTTAGCAAATTGGAATTATTGTAAATATCTAAATATAGATTTCATAAACTGTTATTTTAAGCATCAAGAATGTATTTTGTTTAAAGCGTTTAAAGTTGTTGGTCTGTATGATCAATCTAATCACCTTTAATGTATTCAATCATTAGGAAATCTTTCTTTAATTGGTCATTTCTGTATTTGTAATAAGCTGAATTAATGCAGTTATTTGTTAGAAGTAGTTGGTAACTTATTTTGATTACTGCTTTTCTGAATATGAGCAGCTCCATCTGCAGAAATAGCCTACTTTTTGCTATTTTTCTCACTCTGTAACAGCACTGTACCTGCCTTCTGTTTAGCAGCACCTGTGCTCTTCCTCCCCAGTCCTCATCATCACTTCTGCATATTCTGTGTTGTTTAACCTGCAGATTAACCATGTTGTCATGTTGTTGGTTTCCCACCAACATCACAGGTTTTGCCTTTTTGCGGCTCTAAAATAACTCCTCAAAGAGCTTTTTGATGATCTGCTACTGTTTGTTTTAGCAGCACATTGTGCTCTGCTTGGCATTACATATTGACGTATTACACTCTTACCAGGTGGAAGAAAAAGTAGTTGCTATCAAAGATGTACATTTTCTTGTTAACATGCATTAAATGACTGCAGCATCAAAAGTATAGATATTTGACTTTGTGAATTGATTTTAGAGCCTATTGTTCTTGTATGTGAGGTGTCCATATTTTAGTATCAGTATGTTTATGTGTTGTTTAGAAGTGAGAAATTCCAAGTGAGAGATGAAATGCAGGTGTAACGCTGTCCATGCATGACAGTTGAGAGCCCTGCTGCTACCATTAGCCGAACTTGCTATCACCACTCCCACCTCTATTCCACCAAAAGCGGCCATTCAACCAATCAGGGACTCTGCTTTAGGAAATGAGTAACTGTTGCTGCTAACTTTTTACTAATTGTGTCGAGACTGGAAAACAATGGTAAAGGAAAGGTGGGTGACTGAGGGCTGCTCAGTGTCTGGGTTTGATTCCCAGCACGGGGTCTTTCTGCAAGGAGTTTGCATGTCTTCCCTGAGCATGCGTTGGTTCTCTCTGGGTACTCTGGCTTCCTCCCACAGTCCAAAAACATGACTGTTAGGTTGATTGGCTTAGTTGTGAGTGTGTGTGAATGGTTGTTTGTCGTGTTTGTCTCTGTGTTGCCCTGCGATGGACAGGCAACCTGTCCAGGGTGTACCCCACTTCTTGCCTGTGGACAGCTGGAGATAGGCACCAGCACCACTCGCAACCCCAATTGGGACAAGCATGTCAGAAAATGGATGGATGGTGGGTGACTGCTAGGGGGGTAAATCATGGCGATTCGATTCAGTATCAATTTCCGCACTCAAGAATACACCACGATAAGATTCGATTAATTGGTTGATTTTTTTTTTTTTTTTTACCTAACAGGCTGTTCTGGGAATTATGTTCTGGAAATTTTCAAATGTTTAAAATTTGAAAAATAAATCAATGAAAGCTGTAATATCGTTATGGATTTAATTTGAGAAACAGCAGCAAAAAACATAAGTAGCAAAGTTTTACTCCACCCACTTCACTGAACAATAATAATGCCTCAGTGTTATAGATTCTAAAAGGTCTTGCATCAAAAAATACTGCAAGTGGAAAGAGGGTAGTGGCTAAAGGAAGTGAGGTAGGAGGGCAAAATAGGTTTAGTGCCACCGCAGCACGGGAGTCAGAATTACGTCAAGGAGCAAATAGATAAAAATAGAGCAGAGGAAAAAAAAAACATGAATCGATACTCTTGCAGACGCGTCGATGCAACGGATCGTCGGCTGTTGGGTCCACGCATCGATACAAAAAGATTATTATTTACACCCCTAGTAATTGCTAATGTTGCTAATGCTACATCTACATGAACCTGCAAACAAATTCTTGTGCATACCCTCAGGAGAGAAAAATGGTATGAAAGGGGTCCAATTGACTTCTATTTAAATTTTGTTCTTGGAAAATTGATTAAACATTACTTTAAAGGCAATTCTGGAAAGATGGTAAAATACCAGATTATGACACCTTTAACCAAAGATGGTCAATCAGTCCTCGTTACAGTTGTTTAAAATCATAGACTTTTTATACATACGTATACTTCAATTCCATTCAATTCAGTTTATTTGTATAGCGCCAATTCACAACGTGTCATCTCAAGGCACTTTACAGAGACAATCCCTCACACCAAGCATGCTTGTAGCGACAGTGGAGAGGAAAAACTCCCTTATAAAAGAAGGAAACCTCAAGATTTACTTAGAGTTTTAGATAATTAATTCTAATTTGATATTTCTTGTTCTCTGGGACATAAATGACCCTGAATCCCAATAACTCTGGTTTGGGACGCAGCTATGGATTAGAGGAGCTGTTTGAATCCTTCTCACCTTGCAGTTTTTCCACCAGTACTTGTTCTTGAGTTTGGCGGCGCTGCTCTCAAACTGAGAGGCTCCAGCCTGCAGGGCGTCGGCCCGATCGTCTAGTTCTGACAGCTTCTGGTCCCTCTCTAAGACTTTGTCCACATTCACACGCATTATATCCACCACCTGAGGGATGAAAACACCACTTAGTTAAGACTGAGCTTATTTCCACAGAAAAAAGCAAGTAAATACAACACACACTCTGATTTTTATTAATCCTCTGAATTCCACTTTTGCCATTAATATGGATTTAATCAGTGTTTTTAAAATAGACTATCTGGGTTCTCGTTATAAGCAAAAAGAGAACACTGACATATTCATCAAAAGTGTTTCGGCTCACACTTGTTTCCTCACCTCATCCACCTGCGCCTGAGTCTGCTGAAGTCGCCTGTTGCTCGTTAGGTTGGGGGCAGGAGCTGGAGGCCCTCCATCTCCTTCTGGGCCCCCAGGGGCTCCCGGAGTACCTGCTGCATCTGGAGTTGACCTGCGGTGAAAAAGTGATCAGAGAAGCGTTTTCTTAAATAAGCCATTTTAGGAATATGGAACCTAAAAAGTTTTTTTCGATGATCTCTTTGAACAAACAAATGGCCTTTGAACAGATGTATGTCTGTACATCATAACAGCAGTCAGCTGTTATATTCAAACACAGCCCAACTAATAAAGCATGTATGAAGTGGAGTGGATGGCGTTCAATGAGTTAATAATGTAGTAATAATGTCATAAGTTTGGGTTTTTATTGACTGTTTCACCAAGCAGATAAATCATAATCTTAGTTTGGTGTTGATTAAATGAGTCAAATACAAGTATAACGGTGTGAGAAAACATTGTAGACCCCCAAACCTTTTTTTCCTCAACTGAAGGTGATGTTAATTGCATGATATTAATTGCATATTAAATTCATTTTATAACAAGAAACAAATCTACTTCAATTGGTTTTGGAAAACAAGATTCACTGAACTGGTTGAAATGTTTTGGAGCCTCTTTTATTAATCATCCAACTTCTTTAATCTATAGCTCTGCAAACCATGTAAATTGATTGTTCATTAAAATGATATGCTGATTATTTTAATGTCCAAAAATATATATAAAGAAATGCAATAAGATACAATCACTGTAAAAATGGAAAAGAAGACTTCACACTCTCCCTCCACTCAAGCCTAATTGGACACGTCCATCTGCACATAACAAAAAATATTTTCAATTCTTCTGGTCTCCAAACTAAGGACCTTAATTTAATTAATTTCCATCCATTTGTGACCCACTGGTGTGGGTAGTGATGGTGGGACTGGGAGTCGGGTGTATGCACAAAGGGGGCCGATGCCTCTCCAGCAGGTAGTGGGTAAAAAGTGGTGCATACATTACACTGGGGCACGCCCTGGACTGGGGCACGCCCTGGACTGGGACACGCCCTAGACTGGGGCACGCCCTGGACCGGGGCACGCCCTGGACCGGGGCACGCCCTGGACTGGGGCACGCCCTGGACCGGGGCATGCCCTGGACTGGGACACGCCGAGTTACAAAATCATCACATGATCCCAAACAGACACATATGAAAAAAAAAATTGGGCACACTCATAATAAAACATTTCAAAGGGAACAATTAAACTAACTGGCATGCTTTTTGGAGCCTTGATAGCATCTGGAAATATCTGATGCATCACAAAGAGAAACAGCCAAACTGATATTGAAGGATTCAAATGTAGGAGCCTCTAGTCAATGCATTTTCAATCATTGGTAGTTTTAGCTAGTTCATTATGAGCCATGTTTATTGGATTATTGGACAAACAATTTATCATTCATCAACTTATCTGATTGGAGAAAATCCCTTTTTGTTTCCTATAAGTTGATCAAATAAATCGGCGAATTTGGAAAAAAAGACTAACAAAAAATCTGCTTCTTTTATGCATAAATTCCTCATCTGCAACATGTTATTCATAGACATTAGATCTATGAATTGATTGATTACTATGAGGAATTTTTTTTTTCCAAAAGTCCAAAAAAGTATTATTAACATGTTTTTATTTTGATGGATTGTTTAAAACAAGAAAAATATGTATGATTAATTAAATAAATCTGATTCTTTGTAAGTAAAGTGTTAAATTAAGGACTTTCTTAAAAATGATTTAGAATTAATATAGTAATAAATCAGCAATTTATCAGAAGCAAAAACAATTAATCAAAAATCAAGTTCTATAAAAACGTGGTTGATTCATTTGGGTTTTTTGTTGACATAATCAATAGAAGCAAAGTAGATTCTTATTCAGGATAAATTATGTTAGTGGGGAGGTTTTTAAACTTTCGGAGAGAAAGAACAGAGCAGAATGCCACTGAGCAGCAGTTGCTGCCATGCACTAACAGTCAGGCTTGTTTTTCAAAGGCAAAATGGAGAAAGATTAATGCAGCAGCAGCAGCAGCCTGTCTGATGGAGATCTACATGCAGGAATTAAAACTGTCATCCCCTCCCCCAAAGGAGTCTGACATTCAGCTTAACAATTGATTTTTTTGTTTTATTCTTTTATTATTTTACAGAAAAGTTATTATTTCTAGATCTGATGTTTTGCTTCTTTTGTAGTTGTGTCTAAGCCCTTAATTGTTTTATTTAAAGGCAGCAGAGTTTAGCAGCATTCTGGAGCTTTTCCTGATCACAGCTGATGAATAGTTTTTTTAGGTGAGTCAGCCGGTGAGTCACAGTCCGACTCCTGCAGGGACAAAGTGCTGCAGCCCAGAAATTTCCAGATGACTGGAAATTAGTTTAGAAAAAAAGAAATCACCAAAACTAAGTTAATTAAGAGAAAATTTAGATTTTTAACCCACAGTTTATACATTGGCTGGATTTACTAAAGCAAACTGAACTAAATCAATTATTTCAGTTAATAGAAGTTGGATAGACATAAATATTATAGGTTTAAATTTAAACAGAAGAGAATAAAACATCAACAAACTCACATTTCAGTGGCAGGACGATGAGGATTATCTGAGAGGCAGAGGGTGAGGAAGGGTGAGGATGAGGAGAGCTCAGAGAGGATGAGCCCACTTCTGTCTAATTTTTAAAAAGGTGGATCAGTTCCGTTATTTTTCCGCGCTGATGTCTTATTTCACCTTTTCTTTTGATCCAGAAGGAAGAACAGCGCAAATAAAAGAAACTAAAATCAGGATGTCACCCAGAAGCCCCGCCCCTAAAAGCGCGTGCACACAAACAGACGCACACAGTGTCCCCATTAAAATGCAGGAACAGTTTAATATGTTAAATATATTCCTGCTATTCAGTTTTGTATGTTATGAAGTTAATATTTCATTCATTGAGTGATTTCAATGAAAAAGCAAAAAAAAATATTTGGTTAAAACTTCATTATTGTGGGGAAAAACAAACAAACAAACAAACAAAAAAAACCGCTCAATTCTGGAGCATGTATTTACTCTTCTAACCACTAGAGGTCGCATGAAAACATTATTGACAATTGCAGCCTAATATTGGAATACTAATTTTTTAAAAGAGGTTTTTAAAGCATAAAACAAAAGTGTGATTATAGTTATATCACTAAAATAAAGTTGAAATGTTTCTCAGGTTAAACTGAACCTGATATGATCCATAATGTTTGTTAAGTGTTATGAATAAATAATAAGGCTGACACTGATTTTTTTATTTTAAAAAGTAAGTAAGTCTTCAATAACTGGCTAAATGACAGGCTTTAGCTGTCTGTTGTATTTTTTTTATGAAATGAAAATAAAAAGTTTATATTTAGAATAAAAAATATACTAATTCTCAGCATCAACCTCTGCTGCTTATCAAGTATTATTTTTTTTTAAAGTTATACTTTCTTTTTAGTCAGAAACAAGAGAACTATGTCAGTTCAGTAGCTAAATAAAAAAAAAGGTTAATTGTTTGGTGTTGGAAATTAGGAAAGACAAGAAAGCCTTTTTTCAGGATACATTTTTTATTTTTTTTAAAAAGAGATAAACAATCCCAGTTATCAAATCAGGAACCCAAATTAGAATACAATCATAGGTCATGATAATTAAGCTGAAATGCAATTAATTCAAATGGAATTTAAGTAGAATTTTTTTTTCCTATGAAGCAATAAAAATAATGCAACGTAATTTCATAAAACATTTGAAGAGAAATGACATTTCAATAAACCAGTAAACTTCCTGTGTTTATGCTATATTTAGCTTTAGTTGGATTTGGTCAACTCAATTTTGATTTGACCGACCAGTGAGGAGCAGACAGACATAAAACATCAAGATACACCTGCAAGCCCCGATTAGAGAAAAGTTTTTGCTTGGAGTTGTTTGTGTCCTCATTAATGTTTTTGATATAAATTTGTTTTTCATTTTGGTGATCAGGTTATAATAAAAACATTTATGTCATCAAAGTCTTTACATCACTATAAAAAGCTTAGAAAAAAAAGTCAGATTTTGAGCTTCTCATTTCAATTTTTTAACTCTTACAAACAGGTGAAGCAGGTATTTGCTGCCTTATCAAGAACATTCGATTCCTTCTTGGCAGTCTGCTCTTTCAGGGAAGGAGGAAGGTATCAGCCAATCACAGCCAGAAATGCTTAAAATCAGAATTAGTCTGTTCATTATATTTTCAATGAGAAAAATGGTGGAAACTTTTATTCCCTAAACCACATTCCTAGCACTGATAGAAACAAAAAAAAAAAGGTACTTTAGACAAAATAACACTATAGAGAGCAAAAAATAAAGAAATGTAATCATATAAAATAAATTAAATAAAAATACAATCAAAAGTTAAAAAAAAAAAATGATAATTTTAATTCCCACTCAGTATGTTATTATAAGAACTCCTTGATAAAACAGCAACATAAGGTTTAAGAAACTCCAGCACATTTAAAGCACAGAAAAAAAACTTTTTTAGGATGAAAGCAGTAAAGCCTGATGCTTCTCAGAAGTTGTGTTGAGAAGGAAGATCTGTGGTTCTGCAGCGACGACAGCCGGCGACCTGGAGAAAGGAGAAGGTCTTCTACTGAAAACATCAGAGGTGTGAACTGTTTACCTGAACAGACCTAAGCAGGCGTCTTAACATCTAAATGAGTGATGGCTGTGGAAAGCGCCCAGCAGTGCTGGTTGAAGTAAGCCCATCAAACATGGCTTCACGTTCCGCTCGGCTCGCTGCGTGATGTGTTGACACAGCAGCAGCAGCAGCAGCAGCAGCAGCTCTTTCTTCTCTTATTGATCTGCTGTGAAGTTGTTGGTTTGCAGCTCCTGACCTCCAGCATTTTGTTCAGCAAATTAGACTGTGTGAAAAGGAAGCAATTCCAGTTAAATCACTATTGGAGCAAAAATATGGATCTGATGCTAAATCAGTGCTCCTAGTGGGATATGTTAATGTTTGTTGTTTTTAATGAACTGTTAATAGTGACAGTACATCATATTTTGACAGATAGCGGATAAAAAATGTTGTTATGCCTGCAAGAAGTTAGAAAGTAATTCTCGCTTATTCTCACAGTGAGAAATACTGGTATCTGAGAAGTCTTCCTTTAATTTATTGGAGATTCTTCTGTGACTCTTAGGCCTCTATAGACCATGGATGCATCATTAAATTGCTGGGAATGTACATGTTTCTCACAAAATGGACAGTTTCTTTCACAGAAGTTTGATTTAATTAGAAGTATTGTTTACGTTTTCCTTTTAGTTTTTTGAGAAGTGTGTTTCTCTTCAGCTCAATGTGTGGCATTTTCAGGCCACTGAGGGTCAATTTCCCTCATTTCTGGGTCTGACTTTGGCATCTGCTTCCTGATAATCAGTGATCTTAAATTGGAGAGAAGGGAGCTCTGAAGGAGTTTGGATATTTTCATTTTAGTTCAGCTCTTTTTTCACCACAATCGACTGAAGTAAAGGCTGCACCACATCTGCAGAAGCTCAAACCTGTCTTTTGTTCACACTCCCTCCTAGCATCTCTGCAGAAAAACAAAACTAACAGAGTTCTTTTCTTGAAAAAAGACTCACCTTAAAATACAAAGCAAATATCAATAATCCTCAGAGAATCATGGCCACAGATATGGAAGAGCTTCTTCCATACTTACCCAGGTCACCTTTGGCTGTAAACCCAACAGAACTGTATTATCTGCAGAAGCAGCAGATCAGGTCCTGAGGTTTCCAAAGCATGCCTCCCTCCTCGCCACAACTATCAACATCATAAATATAAATTATAAGAAGAAAGTTTGGATAAATCCAAACAGCAGCCCATACTACCATTATTCCCTCCTTTAACGGTATTCTAATGATATAAGCTCTATAGATCCATAAAACTGAATTAAAAGGACATAAAATACACATCTAAATAAATTCCGTTAACAAATAATCTTAATGGTGCTTTATTTACTAATTATTTTGAAAAATGAGAACAAAGAAACACTCAAACCTGTGTTTTGGTCTCGCTGTTCTTCTGTCAGAGATGCATAAACACTAAATTGTAAAATGCCTTGAGATGACATGTGTTGTGAATTGGTGCTATATAAATAAACTGATTTGAATTGAACTTTATAACTGTTTCCCTAGAAACCGTTTGGATAAAAAAATTAGACAGAACAGTCCTTGAATTATCAGAGTTGCACCAGACGGGCTGATTTGGAGAGCCAGAGTGTAACTCCGGCATAACAACAGAAACACTATCAGTGAAATGAACGGGTTTTCAGGTCTATACAGGCTTTTCTGGCAGGAGTTGATCTGGTTCAAACCACTTTTACACTTTTATGGAAAACAAGCTAATTTAGGGCGCAGATGTGAAGAAAGACGATAGGAAGAAGTGACATGGACCTAGCCAATGTATTCTCCAACTGAACAGTGATGCATCACAGATGGCATATTAATCTGTTCCCACTATCAATGGGAAACTAAAAGGCCTCGACCCCCTAAACCTAACAGGCAGAATAAATGCATCAAAACCAAATGTTAAAATTAAGTCATAAGTTTATCAGGATTCTGATGTGTTGGTAGAAATAAAGCTGATCTGATTGCGGGTAGGTACCAGGTAAAATCTTTATTTCTACGGTGAACAGATTCTGTCACAGCAAACAAGGACACATTTTTAACCAATTCATTCAATCTTGTTATGATCAAACTCAAAAAATACAGAAAATCATTAAAAATAACATAACCCCCCCAACCGACACCAGCATTCTTTTTCAACTCAAAATTCCTCTCGCTTCTCAACCTTTTCCTCACATGCTTTTATCTCTCTGTTCAGATTAAACTCGCAGCAGAAATTCATCTTCAGATTATCAGCATTTAATCTGAAACACTTTCGTTTTTTTTTAATCTTTTCTTTGACTTACTAATGATTCACTTTGTAAAACTTGCAGCTTTGCAGTCCATGCCTCATCATGAAATAAAGGGATCTGCAGATCCGGTTTGCATTATGAAAGAAATTTGACAATTTTGCTACATTCAAGTCTAAAAAAAGATCTTTAAAAAAAAATTATTCTGGTTTAAGTGAAGAGGATAAAATTAAATAAAACCATCTGAGTATCTTGACTATAGAATAAAAAAAACAACAACAAACAAGTAAATAAACAAAAATCTGCTTATATATAAATTACAGATAAAACTTTGATCACTTCTAGGAAACTATTCTTACTAAAACGAACCAATCTTGACTCCAGCTTTATTATTAGAAAAAAAAAAAACTGAATAATTGAAAACAAAAGAATTGGAGTCTTTGAATCCACACAAAGTAAAACTAAAATAAATTTCAGCAACATTTACATCATCAGACACAAAGCTAGCAGCATTAACAGGTCAGCATTGCACACAGTGCTGCAATTACAAAAATAGCCTATTGACAGATCAAACAAATACCTTCTTCAGGTCTTTACTTCCAGTTTAGACCATCAACTCTGGTCAAGCATAAATGTTGATTATTTTTTAAAATTGTGCAGATTTTCAGTTAAATCACAAAAGCAACTGATAAGCCACTGAGCTCTAGATTTTTTTTTCTTTTCTAAAACCATTTCGGACTTTAACTGTTAAATGAAAACCATTAAATTAAAGGAAAACTTAATAATAATAAAAAAAAAAGAGGTTATCACAAAACAAATCAGCCTCTACCTGCAAGAAACGTTTAATAAAAATAAAGATTATATTAGATATTTTGTTTTAATCCAGAAATTAAATCTTTACT